GACCACACCGCTAGGTTCCCCCACCACCAGTACATAGGCATTAAGCGAAAGCTCAGCTCTCTTTCTTCCGGGCAAGCGCCAAAGTGCGCCAGACCACAGCGCACACGGCACTAGCAAAAAAATTGTTATACTTTGTTGGGTTTGTCATCAGCCCACGATCCAGACGCAAACATTAAACTGATGAAAATACTAGGGACGAAATTCGCGGCTTCGCCTGGGTTTCATTTGTTTCGTGACGTCGATGAAACAAAAACGTCTGAAGTTGCCGGACCGTGTTGCCTTGTTTTATCCATGGCTGGTGCTCTTGATTTTCAATAAGACGATCTCACGTGCGGACGAATCGGTGGGTTGTTCTCTTTGGTCGCGTTGCAAGATCAAGATGCTGTTCACATTTTCAAATGCGTGCGCTTGGGGCACACGACTGGTCCGGTTCCAGGAGCAAAACAAAACTGCTGTTGCAGTTCGGTGTTCCAGGCCAGTTCTGCTTTAATTTTGTTGAGGTTCTGGCTCTTGTGAACAAGGTCGGTGTTGTGTTTGAGGTCAGAATGTCCCTGCTTGCTCTTGTACTGCAAAACCGGGTGTAGGCCCTTTCCACGGATTTTCTCGGAGAACGGCCTTCGCTTAAATCTCATCTGCTTGAGGCCGGCTTGAAACCTCATCATCGCAGAACCAGAATGCCTGTGTTGATAAGTGATTTCATGACGAATGTTAAAGCTCAAACATGACGTGGGCCTAATAACTTCTCTTGGCCTCTCGAGTCAGCGGGGATTGCTTGGGTGATGCCAGCAGTGCCCTTGGCTGGAGGTGCCGTCTTTTCTTCTTGACAAGCAAAATCCACTGCCGCTTCGATGCATGAGAGTTGGAACAGCTCACGGCGCATGTACATGAAGGTGTGAAGAGATTGGCATGATGCAGCAAGATGCCATCTGCCAAGTCCATGTCATGAGCCTGGCCTTGAGGCTCCTCGGACTGGGCTTCGTAATTGACCCTTGCAGCCGCAAGCAGCTGAAGATCTTCAATGCCATGGGCTCGGACCTTAAGCCTGGCTCCTGCTGCGGACTGGCTCTGCGAGGCAATCATCAAGCGTACGCTGCCGGCGATGGCATGGCTGCGGCTCCAGAGTTCCACACATAGCGCAACAGCATCTGCAAGCAGCAGATTTTAGCAGTATGCTATGCTTTTTTGGGAAGTTTTCATGTCGAGATTTGGCTCTCTTGTTGCATGCTTGGCAAGCTTAGGCGGTCGCTGCCGTTTTGCAGTGCCTGGCTCATGTGGCGGCATGCCCTTGCAAGGTTTAGTGCTGGACATGTTTCTGCTCTGGCATCAATAAGGTCAGCCCTTGAGGGACTCTTGTCAGACAGACCGGGCATAGAGGCAGCTACTCGCCTTCTTGTGCGCTTTGCAGAGGATCATGCTTCGGAGGACAGCCCTTCATGGCACTTCAGTTGGGGCATCCTGGTGTGGCTGTAAATGGCAGGAAGAAAACCTTTGCAGCGAGGATGCTGTGAAGCGCATCAAGGGCCTCTACAAGAAGGCTTTTCAACAGTATCAGTACGAGAAGGAACGGGGTTAAAACAAAAGACATTCATGTCCCGGTGTGCAAAACGAGCTGTAGCACATTCGTGTAAGCGGTCGACATCAGTGAGTCTGAGCCAGATTCAAAATCTCCGTCACAGGCCAAGAAGCTGAAAACTTCCGACGACAGCTCCTCCCTGGATCTGCGCTTTCCCTCACCGAGTGTGAGCGTGAATGGGAAGATGATAGTGGGGCTGGAGAACATAGAGAAGTTACTGGAGCCGGAGATACAGCAAGAGGTGCAGCAGATCTCATTCGCTTTTCAGATGATGAGAACGCGACCGTCGATGGTCCCAGAAAAGCAAATTCTCAACTTCGCCTACAGCAGCAAGCACCTTCATCCGACGCATGACTCGTCACAGTCACAGCTGTTGCTGGAGCAATGCATTGAGCAGTAGGTAGTGCATCACTAAAAATTCGTGGGCATGGAGTGGCCGGATTTGCATCTGAGGAGCAGCTTCCGCATTCAACCAAAGCTGTTGACGGCCTGGTATCCGGGAATTTCCACATCTCCCATACGTCATGTGCCTTTGCGGCCGGACATGCTTCGGAAAGTGCCAGGAGGTCAGCTGCAAGGAAAATCCACGCGGCCCTACCCCGCGGTCCATCTTGCTGTGCTCTCCTCGGGCCAGGGCGGCGACTCGAAGCTTTTGCAGGATCTCCGGGAGGTGCTCGGAGCCTTCGCGGCGCTCTCCTCGCTATCGGGCAGCCGTCCAACCCCAAAGCGATATCTTCACATCGCACCCGAGCTGCAAAAGAAAAAACGAGAACAAGAGCAACTCTGAGCTCCAGCAGACGTGCTCTGCCGCAAGGCCATCACAGCAGGCTGCGGTCAGCCTGTTGGGTCGCCACTGCCGGTCTCTGGCGCCTTGCGGCGCTGTGTTGCAGCTGCCTCCACGGGCGGATTCGACCAGCTGACCCAACTGCTTGATGTGGCCCGGCCCCAGTTTCAGAGTCTTTCAGGCTGCACCCCTCGAAAACATACAATCATTGCCCGTCTCGAACAACGGAAAAAAACACAGCTTAGCACAATGGCTTCAAATCAGCTGAGTAGCTCCAGTTGCTGTGCAGGCAATGGCCGAAGCCTTGTTGGAGGTGTTCTTGTAAGAACGCCATCACACCCCAACCGCGATTCCACTTGGTGGGATCCATAAGCAGGGCCAAATCCCCAACTCGTGGAAATTTAATGGCTGGTGGCGTGCCACTGAGGCATTGCGGGCGGCAGATGTCACTGCCGAGATGCTCTTGACGGCATGTGGCGCCTCGCTGCCCCAGAAGGCAACGAGACGGGCTCTCCACATGACACGTCTGACACATACAACGTCCGTTTGCACAGACAAACCAGGAAGAGTCTCCAACTCGATCCCGTGTCTGTGAGGTCCTTCAGGAGAAGGCGGTGACGGTGGTGCAGGAAGATGTGGAGCTCTGCCAAGCACACCTGCCCATCTTGCGCGATCTAGGACGGGCCTGGGTGCAACCGAGCGGGAACATGCGGAAACCGCCCATCGCTCCATAGCCTTTAGGAGTGCTGGAGGGCCTTATGCTTCTTGTGAACGGGCGGCTCTTTGGGCCCTTGGAGCTGGATGGGCAAAGCTTTACCGCGGGCATCGTCGCTCACGCGGAGGAGCTGGAGCTCGACTTTGGACCCGTGCAGCTCCAGGAGCACCGCGGAGCTGAAAAAAGCCCGTGGCTGTGTCAGATTGTCGCGTTTGCGGAAGATCTGTGTCTGCAGGACGGCCTCGTTCTAGCAGAAGATGCGGTTGTCAAGATGCTCAAGCAGAGAGCTGGCTCCACGGAGGACTATCTGCTGGCATTTGCGAGCCTTGGCCGAGCTTAGCCCTGGACAGACGCTCGAGCTGACAAGCAGCGCAGCATGGAGGTTGGCGGTGCGCGCTCGCTCCGTTGTGGAGAGCTTCGCCGCGCGAAGCGGCGAGACCACAGAAGAGAAGTCCGAGGAGGGAGAGCAGCTGCAGGACTCGTTGTGTTCGTGTCTTCCACGTGAGGCCCACACGTGATTTGCCATCTGGGCCACAGGATTCGCACCGTAAAGGAGTCGCCGAAGTGATGTACGAAAGGGCACCGCCGGGATTGCGAATGCACCTGGCTCCAAGAGAGGCGTGCGCTACATTGCGTCCGTTCATTGTCCGTTATCGCGCGGTCGAGATTTAGACGTCAGTCTGTAGGGATTTTGCCACCGACTTCATGAGTGTTTCATGTGTTTCAATATTGCAGGTCTCCTTTGGATCTCCGATCCGGGTGTATGCCTTGCTGAACCCTCTCGGCAAGGGAGCGCAACGTCTCCCGCCACTGCTGGCGCTCCTACACCAGGAGGGAGAGATGCAATGCTCCCGCGACTTGCAGCGATGCAGACGAGCAAGTACTGGTAGGAGCTGAATGCCGAAGTGTTCGTCACTCTTCGCCCTGTGCGACTTGCTGAGTCTCCTCTGACGGGCTGCTTCTTCGCAATGCGGCAATGCTAACGCTAATGCTGCTAATGCAAGCACCAACCCAGAGATGCATTGACCCGTGATCCTTGTACCAGAGGTCGAGGGACTTTGCGTGCAGCACTGCCGCACAAGCCCGAGCTAATTATGCATTAGTCACGTCATTAGTCCATGCAGCGTGGCAACACTAACTACCAACCTCACGACATGAGAACAGACTCAGAGCCGTCAGTGCTCAATGCTGATGACGCCTGTAGGAAATGAGCAAGAGTCATGTTCACAGACAAAGTCAATGTCGTTTCAGTTTGCCAACGCAGTCGCTGACAGTGATATGCGAGATGCCTCATGCCTATTGATGAGATGCTGCATGTGTTCCCCGTCATATCCCATCCCGAGCACGCTTCCTCCCAAGTGCACATTTAAAAAGGTCCGACCCCAACCACACATGTTTACTGCGACCGGACCAAGTGTCAATCGGGGCGGCAGAACTGCAACTGTCAAGGCTCGGTATTTGTCAAGCGTTGCTCCAGTTGCTTCAGGTTACTTCCGAACGGCTGCTGCACCAACAGCGCCCGAAGGCGCAGACGGTTGGTCATGCTATGCGGCTGCAGCAGAATGTTCAAATCTTCTTAACAGGCGGTCTTGCCGCCCTGGGAGAATGGAACGGCACAATGAAGGGTGTTCGCATCGAGCTGCCACCACGGCGCGGCCAGTTTCGTGGATGCAGGAGCAAGGACTTAGGATCGTGAGTGGATCCGGCACAGTGAGGGCTTGTGGCAGACACTCGGCCCCCAGCCAGCCCGAGTCGCGATTTTTCCTCGAGTCTCCTCGAGGCTGTTGAGTGTCCAGCTCGTGGCACCAGATGATTGGCTCTGCTCGCCCGTGGACTCTGCTGCTGACCTAGACAGCATTCCAGCGCATGCCCCAAGAGGCTCTCCGGGTGCCAAGGCACTCGAGACGGCATGTGTCCGGAAAAGGGGCACTCCCAGAGTGGCAGTTTCTGTGTCGCAGGTCCATGTGCGCTATGAGGTGGAGGCTCTTTTCCTGGAGGGTGTGGCAGAGGCCTGAAGTCAACCGAATCAGCAATGCACATCAGAGCAGCTCAGCAGGTACGACAGGTCAAAAGCAAAGAATGAGACATGAGCGCCAGGATGCACGGGGCAGCCCAGCCACTGGACGCCAGCTTGCACTGGCGCCCCTGCGTGGTGTGGCCGAGACGGCTGGCAGCAACTCGGTGGACGCTTGGCCCAAAAGGGTTCACATGAGGTGGCCGAGCACAGCAAACCTGCATGTCCACACCTCAAACAAATGCCTCATTCACTTCGCTGGCGCTGTTCCTGGATCGTGCATGGGTAGCCATGCGTAGCGCTTAGTGAAGACAAAAGACAAACGAGAAAGCACGACAACCAGACTTCGTCGATAGTCTGGTAGGCAGAAGTTTAGAAGTGTCTGGTAGAACAAGTGGGTTTTTCCCGACATTTTGAAGTTGTGGGTGGCAGGGTTTCCTCAAGTTGAAAGATCACGCGCCGCACCCCAGCCTCAGGTCGTGAAAAGTGGCTACTTCCAACTGCGTCAGAAGCCGGGTGTGCAGCTCGGCCAGGTCCTGGGGGTTGCTGGGCTTGCTGGAGGCTTAGGCACTTGAACTCTGCATTCGAGGTATCAGCTATCTCTTCGCTCCAACGAGGAGAGGCTGCTGCGGCCGAAAGGTCTCGTGCAGCTGGCAGACATTTGGACTGGACCAGACACGCTAGCTTTGAAAGCCCAAAGCTTCTCGTTTAAGGACCTGGCTGGCAGAGGCTCTCTGCTGGAGGCTCGAGTAGGCAAAATGGGCCTCGGAGAGGCCGGACAAGATTCGACGGATCTGTCTCTTTTTGCCTGCACCTCTGCCTGTCGCAGGACGCACAAGCGAGCTTCTTCAAGGCAAACGACTCCGAGACCGGCTCAACTGTTGGAGCAGTCAAGCCGTTTTCCTCAAGCTTGGTTTCTCTCATCCCGTATGAGGAAAGCACGCAGAACTTCGAAGGGGCAGGTGGCGATCCTGCGGAATGCTCCGAGACAATCCACATCTTCAGCGTGGCCTCAGGCCCGGCAGTTGTGAAGAGGGAAGCACGGAAGCAGGCTTCGAGAATTTTGGAGAAACAAAATATCAACAAACTCTCAGCATGGAGACAGATCTATGGAAACGTTGCAGAATCTCAGATCGTCCCATCGGTTTACAGGTCTTCGCTACGAGCGCTTGCTGTGCAGGGCCCAGATTCCACAGCCACACGGACGACTGCGCACGGGAACATGACTGTTTCGGCGGCACCGAAGCATCACGAAATCGTACAATCCCCTCCTCAAAGGCGAATTATGATGCTCTCAGTCCGCAAGCACACCAAGTGAGTCTCGGCTTGTGGCAAAGATGGTTAAGCATCAACAGCATGCAGCTGTATCCAGCTGCATGCAGTTGTCTGTTTGCTTGGCATTGAGGCAAGCTGCGCTTCTGGCTTGTGGAGAATTTCCTCAGCCCTCGCTTTCGCCGAATTCTGCCCGGTTTGGCAGAGCAAGTAGGGTTTGCCGTCAGTCGGGTGACGTACAAGTGGCCCACCTGGTTGCGACTCGGCGTGTCTTGATGGGGCTTTCAAGCCTCGAAGGGTCTGGAACCGCTTGTGTTGATAGAAACCTGTAAGGCGAGAGCAAACACAAAAGCAGCGTGTGATCTGGGCATACAAGAGCCTTGGTCAAGAATCAGCGAGCACGGCTCAACCGTGGCTCTGTGCTGTTCACCGCCTGAGTCTTGCAGGATCCTTTTCCTGGATGTGTTCTTCCCTGCAGAAGTGAAGCGCATCCTCTTCATCGATGCCGACCAGATCGTCCGTGCCAACGCCAAACTCTCAGAGAATCAGTCCTCGCTCCTCAAGCAGCTGCACGCATGACCACGTTACTTACGAGTGTCGTCAAAAGTTGGTGCGAGCGATCTCGCGACAAGACAAGGTGGAGGAACTTTGGAGGATGGACATCAAAGGTCCTGGCAGTTCCTTTGAGTGGCAAGAGTGTTTCGCATCCACATTGAAGGCCATGTCTATGGCTTTGTGCCATTCTGCGGATCTGGACCACCAGAAAGCCTCACTAGCCACATCTGGGGGTCCTTGACCGGAAAGGCTGGTTGAATGGATGGAGTGTGAGAAATCGGGGTCAAATGTGTGAGATTCGCGCTGATTTGCCGAATTCATCCGAGTTGCATCCTCTGCGAAGGCAGCAAAGCAGGAGGATTTGAAAAATCCGGATACTGTGGGCTTTAGGTTCTGGGAGTGACTTGGCTGGCTGAAGACGTTGGCGATTGTTCGACTCGCAGACCGCAAGGGAAAGACGTGAGCATTCATTGTGAGGCAAGGTTTCTGGAAGAATCACCTGGCGGGTCGGCACTACTACCATATCTCCGCCCTGTTCGTTGTTGACCTAGAGGCAGGATGCTGGCCACAAAAGCCGGACAATCGTATAAGTACGGGGAAAAAACGAACATGGTTATCGTCATGCACAGGTGTTCCGACAAACTGGTGCAGGGGATACTCTTCGAGATGTTTATCAGTCCTTGACGGCGGACCCGCACAGCTTGGCCAACTTGGATCAGGTTCATAATGGGACTTTCCGGGAAGTGTATCTGTGGCATGCAAGTTGCACATGCGCAAGTTTGGGAGGATCTGCCAAACTACATCCAAGCCAACCTGCCCATATACAGCCTACCACAAGAATGGCTTTGGTGCGAGAGTTGGTGCAGCGAGAGTTCCAAAACCAATGCCAAAACCATCGACATGTGCTGCTTGGTTGGAACTAGCCGAACTAGCTTCCCGGCCTCCTTCCCAACCATTTCCCCTTCCCCGTGAAGAATCGTCCGCATCCCGAGTCTTCCTGCCAAGGTCAGCATCCTTCGAAGAAAGTAACTTGGCCAAGCTAGTTGCCAGCACAGCTTTATTTAGAGTATTCTATTGCTTGCTACCCATTACCGCATCTCTTTTTCATGTGACTTTGCTAGAGTGCAGCCGAGTCTAACTAGTTCTCTACATATCCACGCAACATCTTCTGAAGGTATCTAGTAGTTAGTGGGTAGTAGCTAGTAGTTAGTGAGTAGTAGCTAGTAGTCAGTAGTTAGTAGGTACGAGGTAGTAGGTAGTAGGTAGCAGATAGTAGGTAGTACTTAGTGGTTAGTAGTTGTCAGTAGAAAGCAGCAACTAGTAAGTTGCATGGAGAACATAGTCTGTAGTCTGTAATATGTAGTACGCACGATGTACTACGTAGTACGTAGTACGTGGTGGGTTTGGGCCAAAGAAGAAGGGGGAGTGGGTTCTTGTTTGGTTCAACGAAGCAGAGGGACGGGGCGGGGGCTTCTTGTCATCGGCCAAACAAGAACCCCCCTCCCCCCCTCCCTGGTCCCTCCTACAACCGGAACCCCGATACCCCAACCAGAAGCCCATACCGCAACTGGGCCTGGATTTGTGCAAAACCCAGAACCCCATATCACAACCAGCTAAGAAGCTCACAATTTGCTTGGTTTTCAATCCTGAATGTGAACCTTTAACAAAACAAATCCGTTTTGGAAAAGCCAGTTGCAGTAGGGACCGCTGTTCGTCCGGCTACTGTTTATCTGTGTGTGCGTGTGTCTCATCGTGTAGAGAAGTGGATCGGGGAGCCCAAAAGCCCTAAAGGAATGATTGGTTGCAAAGAATCTCCAGGAGTGAGTGGTTCGAAGAAGGGGTGCCTGGTTGGGAACTGACTACTAGTTACGAATTTACAACTCCACGTCGTCGCCATTATCATTATCGTCTTCATCTTCATCTTCATCTTCATGTTCATCTTCATCTTCGTCATCGTCATCGTCATCATATCATCCCCATCATCATAATCATCGTGATCATCATCATCATCACCAGCATGATCATCATCGTCATCATCATCATCATCATCATCATCAAGCGTCTCGGCAAGCATCTCGGCCCGAACCTTTTGAGCTCCCGAGAACTTTGATTATGCCACGCTCCAATGCCGATCCTAGCCCGAGTCCTTATCACACTTCTGACGAGTGTGAGAGTTCAAGCCAATCAGAGTCAGTCACTCCAGTGGAGAGATGCAAGCTGCCCACCCACTCGGTGGAACTCATGGAGTTTCGAAACTATGTTCTCCTTGAGTTATGCTGGCTGCACTACGAACGCCACCTGGTTTCCACTCATGGATCTGACCGAAGGCAGGCTTCGGCAAAGCTGTCCGCGCACAAACGAGCTCATCATGCGCAAGCGGCCGTTTGCGCCCTGGAGGCAATTGTCGACAAACTGGACGACGCAAGTGCAGACTGCCTGCAAGCAGAGTACCGTTTTCTCCAGGACGCCATGGAAAGGCCGCTACGCAGGAATGGCATTGCCTGGATCGTGTCTACCGGGAGCCAGTGTGGGCCCTCGAAGCAGCTTACCTTGCAGTGCCTGTGCCGCTTGGTTTTCCGCACCCTCAGCGCCAACATGGCCAGCCTCCACATGGCGCAGACCCTGGCGAAGATCGTTCATGACCGAGCTCTTCCGCTGTGGTACCACCCCACCTTCGTGGCCCTCCTACCGCTGGTTCCCCGAGGAGATATGGGCCGCCTGCAGGACTGGTATGCGAACTACGAGTTCCAGGCCAGAGCACAACATGCCCTTCTTTTTGGCTTACACGACGCGGATGCGGGCAACGCGGCGGATGAACAGCAGCAGCCAGGCTCGGGAGCCGGATCTTTTACAGACAGACCCCCGGCAAGACCAGGCGGTGGTGGAGATTCCGTTTCCCGCCATCGGGGAAGAAGTACGCCCTACCGCGGCGCCGTCGTCTTCAAGCAGGCCAATGGAGGAGGACGAGCGCTAGCACCCTAGGGCTCCGGCTCGGAAGCCTCTCCCAGCGCGTACGTGCTCCTCTGAGTCTGGCTGTACATAGCGTGGCAAATCAGTTTGCATTTGGACTCGGAGCTCTTGAATGGAAGCAATTCTCGGGCTGCCCCGGTCCCAATTCCGGGGTCAGTGACCAGGCAGCCACTTACACCACAACATCAGAGGTCACTGAAGATGTGAGTGTTGGGGGTAATGTAGGTCGTCTTCCCCTGAAGCTAAAAGCTATTCACCCATAAGCATTGCAATCGCGAGCCATTACGACCATGACCATTGCGAGGCCGCTTCTCAAGGAACGGCCCCTGTCCTCTCCACACTTAATGATCCTACCCGTTTAGTCAGTCATGTCAGGCACCGCCCGTAAACCGCCCCGAAACGCAAGTGTGTGGGAGCTCCAGCAAGCCGAATTATCCAGTGCATGCTGTTTCTGCTGCAGATCCTCAGATTACCTGCAGCTGCACCTAACTCCCTAAGTCCCAGCCCCGCGGTAGTGAGTGTACCAGCAGTGCATATTTCTCGTATTGCCAAAAGATCCTATAAGCGAGCCCTGGCCAGACAACAGCGAACAGGTCATGCTTGGTATAAAGGTAGACTCCTTCCTCAGCCCAAGCTACCACCTGCACATGCCCCAACCAGCAACCTATCCCAGTTTCCACCTGTTCAGTTGGAACTGTGGGGGGCTGTCAGCGCTCCGCCTTGAATCCCTGCTGCAATGGGTAGACATGCAGACCACCGGCCCCTGCGTAATCTGCCTGCAGGAGACACGCTGGAGTATCACTTCAGAATTTCAGAAGGGACCCTGGTCTTGCATTTCCAGCAGCAACGGCACTAGCCAAGCCGGAGTCTTGACTATGGTGCGCATGCCGGGTCTGAGATACATCCTGGCCGGCTACTTCACACCAGACTTGGAACAGAACCCCCGATTGACATCCCAAACAGCTATCAACATGCCTGGAATGTAACCAAGCAGGCATATCAGAACCAAGGCCAGGATCCCGTAGAACTGCTGCTCCAGGACCGTGCAACCATCTGGAAGCAAATCCAGACTTGGGGCGCACCCATCCCCAGACGCAGTCAACTAGTCATAGTTGGGGATTTTAACACTCCTCTTAAATCCCTACCTCCCCACGTAGGACCTGGCATCACCACGCATAAGTCCTCCCAGCACCGTGACCTAAAGACTTTCCAGGGCATTCTTCAAGGATTAGGCCTCGTTGCTGCCAACACATGGCGCCGCCCGGGGGATGGATCGGCCACGTTTGTCAACCACCGCAATCAGCCGGTGCAAATTGACTTTGCCCTTCTCCGGCAGCCCTGCTGTGTCCCTGCTCTGCATACCAAAGTGCTCAGAGATGCGCCCATTGTTGCCGACTCGGGCGTGCGTCACTTTCCCATCCAACTGCAAATACCTCTGCCCCGAACGCCCAAAAAGCCTCATTCCTGCCTGAACCTCACAGCAGAGCGAGCCCTTCAGGTCCTTCAGGACCCGCAGGTCTGTCAAGCTTTCACCGAAGCCGCAGCATGCCAGCTTGCGGACCCGAGTGTCAAGGCAGAAGACATAGATAAAATCCTAGCACAGTCGTTGCAGCCATTTCATCATCGACCGAGCAACCCTGCAAGCACGACCGGCTCCGCTGCCAATTTGGAGACCTACTGGCAACACAAACATGCCCTACGTGCTGCCAATAGGGGTCTGCAGGCGCATGTTCAATGTCAGCTGGACATCGAGTCTCACGTCCGTGCAAGCGCTGCCCTCTGCGCGCAGAAACATATCACGGCTTCTAGATGCATGGCAAGCAGCAGTGCGCTACCTTCGCACGGCCAGAGAGCTAAACAAGCAGATGCGCCATGCAAAGAAGAGGCAGGCAGAGGACATCATTGCACAGGCCCAAGCGGCAGATCGCCGAGGCCTCACTCATGTCTACAAGATCATGCATCGTACCGCACCTAAAGACCCCCGCAGATCCATTCACCTTAAGACTGCCCAACAAGGCCTTCTCAGTCCACGACAGTCCCTTAATGTCATCACAGACTACTTCAGCCAGCTATATCAAACCCAGCAGCGGCCACCTCATCAGCACTTTTACCTTCAGACGCCCCTCAACATAGGAGAATCAGAAATCGAGGAAGCCATCAACTCCCTGTCTCAGCGAAAAGCTCTACCCAAGGGCCATGCCCCTGCGGCATTGTGGAAGGTCTGCCGAGCGGAGATAGCGCCAGTTCTTTTTAAAGACTTCCAGACACGGTTCCAGCCGGGACCTCTAGAGCTGCCTAAGACATGGAACATGGCTTTTGTAACGCTATCACCCAAACCCCAAAAACCACCAAACTGTCCGGCCAACCTAAGACCAAGTATCCAAGCTCCTAGCTAGGATTTGTGCCCAGCGCCTAAGACCCCAATACGCCTATCTAGAAGGGCGCCAATCACTAGACGCTCTAGACAAAGTCTTCAGCCATTGCCACAGAGTACGCCAAGCAGTCTCGAATCTTCGTACCAAGCCGTTTGCAGCACCTCCCCGTCGTCATTTCCCCCTACGAAGGGGGGGGCAGCTTTCGCTCGACCTCAGCAAGGCCTTCGACCGGCTCCCTAGACCTCGTCTGGAGGAGGCCCTGCGCAGACTGCAAGTCCCTGAAAGCCTAACACAGCTTATTCTCTACATAAACTATGAAATGCTGCTAGTGTTCAGCAAGGATGAGTATGTAGCCGAATTGAACACTAATTCGGGCATCGGGCAGGGATGTGGCCTGGCTCCTCTTTTATGGACTGCGTTCACCCTTCTTGCCATGGAGCGCCTGGAGACTTTCCTAGCCACTGATCAGTTAACAGTTTTTGCAGATGACTACCATATCTCCTGGGACATTGAATCAGAACTGCAATTCCACAACTGTTGTGTTCAAGTGGGCAGGATTGTTGATGAGCTCACTGCGCTTGGCATGCAGATTTCGGTTGACGCAACTGTCGTCCTACTTCACCTAGGCGGACATGCAGTCAAGAAAGCCATGCACAGGCGTGTACTGCGCAACAAAACAG